CTACTACTGTCTTCCGATACTGCCCACTCACTACTACTGTCTTCCAATACTGCCCACTCACTACTGTCTTCTGACACTGCCCACCTACTACTACTGTCTTCCGATACTGCCCACTCACTACTGTCTTCCGATACTGCCCACTCACTGCTGTCTTCCAACACTGCCCACTCACTGCTACTGTCTTCCGATACTGCCCACTCTACTACTGTCTTCAGATACTGCCCATTCACTACTACTGTCTTCCGATACTGCCCACTCACTACTGTCTTCCGACACTGCCCACCTACTACTACTGTCTTCCGATACTGCCCACTCACTACTGTCTTCCGATACTGCCCACTCACTGCTGTCTTCCGACACTGCCCACTCACTAGTGTTGCCTTCCCATACCACCCACTCACTACTACGTGCATCCGATACCGCCCACTCACTGCTATTGCCCACTCAATATTATTGTAACTTGTCATGATTGTGACCAGATCTACCTGGAGTTCATTACCTTTGTAACTTGCTCTGCTATCAATGGAAATAAGTCACTCTGTCTGACTTTTTTGGGTTATCCTAGGTTCTCTACACACATGCTGCTATGTATGATAATTCTATGTAACTGTATTTGTGTATACCTGAATAAACTTACATACTTACTTACTTATAACTTTGGGACCCAGTCCCTGGACCCATTATGTACCTCTGTAATCTTTTGACTACCGCCCACAGGATGGGTATGGGGTGCATAATAAACATTAAACTAACTAGCCTTACTGCTCACTCACTACTATTGCCCTCCCTTACTGCCCATGCGTTATTGCCTTCTTATACTGCCCACTCACTATTGCCCTCCCATGCTGCCCATTCACTGCTTTGCCATCCTATACTGCCCTCCAATAGTACCAACTCACTATTGCCCACTCACTATTATTGCTACTATTCTGCCGGGACACTACTATTGCCCTTTCTTGCTGCTCATTCCCTGTTGCCCTCATACTGACCACTCGTCTGTTGCTCTCCCCTTCTGCCCATTCATTAATCTTGCCCTCCCATAATGCCCAATCATTACAAGGGCCCAACCACACTTCCCACTCACTACTATTGCACCTCTTCCCACTAACTATTGCCCTCCCATACCACCCACTCACTAGTTTTGCCCTCTACTGCCCATCCACTACCATTGCTCTTCTTTACTGCCTACTCACTATGCTCTAATTTAATGACCACTCACTACAATTGCCCTTCTTTACTGACCACCCATTATTGCCTTCCAATACTGCCCACTCACAGTTGCCCTTCAAGCTTTCCATTCACTACCATTGCCTTCCTGCTCTTATCCTCCAGTAGTGCCAGCTCATTATTGCCCCCCTGTACTCCTCACTCACTACTAGTGTCCTCCATTACTATCCATTTACTACTATTGTCCTCTAATACTGCCCACTCACAGCTATTGCCCTCCAATATTACCCACTCACTACTGTTGCCCCCAATACTGCCCACTAAGTTCTGTTGCCCTCCTATATAACCTACTTACTGTTGTTGTCTTATATCACCTACTCACTACTGTTGACATCCTATATCACCTACTCACTACTGTTGACATCCTATATCACCTACTCACTACTGCTGACATCCTATATAACCTACTCACTACTGTTGGTGTCCTATATCACCTACTCACTACTGTTGACATCCTATATCACCTACTCACTACTGTTGACATCCTATATAACCTACTCACTACTGTTGACATCCTATATCACCTACTCACTACTGTTGATATCCTATATCACCTACTCACTACTGTTGACATCCTATATCACCTACTCACTACTATTGACATCCTATATCACCTACTCACTACTGTTGACCTATACCATCTACTCACGACTAAATATTAGAGACACTAGGTACAGTGTAGAGAAAAAAAAGAAGGAAAAAAAGAAATAGTAGTTTTGAGGTGGTTAGTTGTTTAGCCTTCATAAGTGTTAATTTGCAATGTCTCAGTCAATAATACTTAGTGAGGTGATATACTTGGAGAAGCATCATAGGAGGGACCCACTAATACAAGTAAGAACATAAGACATGAGGAGCAGGCTTAGTGGCCCATGCTAGGCAGGTGTTTCTGAAATCCACCCCTTCGCACTCAACTACTCTAGTGGTTGATCAGTAAAATTATGGAAGATGTCCTCTTTACCAAGAAACTGTGTTGTTGCTGTATCAGACGAGTATCAATATTTTAATGTTATACATACATTATCGACCATCTAATTGTAGATATTGTATACCATTAATATTGTAAGGTAACTTGAGGCTTGTTGACACTGACACAATATAACTAGGCTTGTTGAAACTAACAACACAGCTTGAGGCTTGCTATCTGTTATATACATCAGCATGGTATAACAGACTAGAATGATGTACGTTCATAATTCTTCCACACATTTATAGCCCTGTTTTAGTGCTATTAGACTAAAATTATTATAATTTAAGTAAAATCAAATATATATTTATGTTTATATGTTAAACATATATTGTCTAGTCAGTGTTTTTTTTATATATGCATAGAAAGGTGGAGCTATTTAGACTTCATTCTTATTTAATAACTTGTTGCCTAAGTGATGTCACCTTGCTCGTGGTTGACGTGTATAGCCAGCAGAGTGCCAGCAGCTGCTCATTGGGATAGATGGTCAGCAGCAGCTAATGGAAGTGAGGGCTACTCCTTGGTGGTAAAGGCCTCTTAACAGTGACACTGGCCCAGCAACAGCCTGGTTGAACAGGCAAGTGCCAGACGAGCCTGACCCATGGCCTGGCTCCAAGAGTAGTGAGACTCCTTGAAACTCATCAAAGGTATATCACTTACACAATCAGTTTAGACACTGTGTTAATTGTTGGAGGTGTGTTGATTGTTTCCAGTGCAGATAGCCCCAGTGTCAGTGTGACAGTTGTATTCAAAGTTTATTCTCTATAAGGATTACAATGCTGAGTTTACAGAATTTGGTTATTGTGTGGTTTACATGTAGTAAAATAATTACAGAGTGTACCACTAGAACACCTAGCATGGCTAGGCATTTCGGGCAGACTTATATTAAATCTTAAGTTTAAAATATTATAAAATTATGGGGTAAGTTGGTATTATGGCTAAGTGACTAAATACTAGTTGTGAGTTTAGCAATGTGAATGCTTTTGTTTTGGCACTATACATAGTTTCAGTATTGGAGTATCACAGGCCAGCTTATGACTAGTTAAGATTCATTATTTTGAGATTGAGATTGATATTTCTGTTTATGGTCAAATGGGTGAGTGAGTGTAAGTGTGAACCACCAGGTGGTATTCGTATTATTAGTTGACAGGGTGTATCAGGGAGATAAGATGTTTTCTGATGGTAGTTTTGAAGGTGATGAATGTGTCTGCAGTTTTGGAATTTTCAGGTAGGGTGTTCCAGATTTTAGGGCCTTTGACATACATTGAATTTTTGTAAAGGTTTAGTCGGACACTGGGAATGTCATAGAGATGTTTGTGTCTGGTGTTGTGCCTGTGGGTTCGTTCTGTCACAACTATCAAGAAAGCGTTTTAGGTCAAGGTTAATATTGGAATTTAAGGTCCTGTAGATGTAGATTGCACAGTAGTAAGTGTGGATGTACTGAACAGGGAGTAAGTTTAGATCTATGAAGAGTGGGGGGGGGGTGTTGCCAGGGATGGGATTTAGTGATTATTCTTACTGCAGCTTTTTGTTGGGTTATTATTGGCTTTAGGTGTGTTGCTGCAGTTGAACCCCAAGCACAGATAGCATAGGTGAGGTATGGATATATAAGTGAATGGTATAGTGTGAGAAGGGCAGTTTGCAGCACGTAGTATCGTATCTTGGAGAGGAATTGTCAGTATGTTCATACTCTGGAACTCTTACTTAGGCCTTGAAGGTTTGTTTTTTGTGTGGTGTTGAGGTTTGTGTCTGAGGAAACAAGTGAGCATATTAAACTTTTGAACTGTGGTCCAAGTATAGCCTCTGATACAAGTGTTTCCCACATTGTCATGTAACACGCATCCATATAATACTGTGCAGACTGATTATGTATGCTGTCATAGCTTCTTCCAGTGTGTATTGAAGAATTGCTTAGTCAGGAATCTTAACTGAGTAATTATGGGGAGTTGTCACTCCCATGTCTAGGTTGGACAATATTTGATTAGTGTCAAATACTGTACTCTGAATGGACACATAATTAAGAAAAATTCCCACTTCACTGTACCTACTGCTAAAGGCTTTTGTTTAAATTCTGACTATACCCAATTTATTGGCTCAGTGATAATTACTGAGTCAGTTATTCCTTAATTTCTTGTTACATAAACCGAATCAGGCTCCTGTCAGGTGGTCTCCTGGCCTGGCAGTGTGTTTTGTAAGTGACAACACAACTTGAGGCATGCCGATGGTAACAACTTGAGGCATGCTGATGGTGACAACTCGAGGCATGCCGATGGTGACAACTCGAGGCATGCCGATGGTGACCACTCGAGGCATGCCAATGGTGACAACCCGAGGCATGCCGATGGTTACAACTCGAGGCATGCCGATGGTGACAACTCGAGGCATGCCAATGGTGACAACTCGAGGCATGCCGATGGTGACAACTCGAGGCATGCCAATGGTGACAACTTGAGGCATGCTGATGGTGACAACTCGAGGCATGCTGATGGTGACAACTCGAGGCATGCTGTTGGTGACAACTCGAGGCATGCCGATGGTGACAACTCGAGGCATGCCAATGGTGACAACTCGAGGCATGCCGATGGTGACAACTTGAGGCATGCTGATGGTGACAACTCGAGGCATGCTGATGGTGACAACTCGAGGCATGCCGTTGGTGACAACTTGAGGCATGCAGATGATGACAACTTGAGGCGTGCAGATGGTGACAACTTAAGGCATGTTGAGATAGAAGCTTTTACCTGACTATGGAGGTGCAAATAAGTCTGCAAGTTCTTTTTCAGTAACTAGTAACAATTATTTGTTCCAGGTAGTGAGAGTCCAGTGTTTATCCACGAGGGGTTCAGTGTTGATACTGCTCTGAAGGACATTGAAGCAATGATTGAGGCCAATGACACTCCAAGACCCAATAAGATCTCTGCTCCTTATGAGGTGCCACAGTTTCCTATCGAACAGATTGAGGACAAACTGACATTTCATCGTCATCTTAGTGTATTGTTAGTATCAGTAAAAGTATTTTTTCTTTCTATCCTAAAAGATATGTAATATTTTGTTTTCCGCTAAAAGTTGTCAGATTTTTCAAAGTTTTTGTACAATAACTTGAGAATACCGCATCTGATAACCTTTACACTTTAAATGCTAAAGTATTTTAAGAAATGCTTAAGAGTATTATTGATATGTGTGAGTGTCAGTTTTTATTTGAGAATGACATAATTGTTTTTTTGTTATATCTTTACAGTGCCTATTCTAATGGCCTTCAAAGGTTCAGTATTATTGGGCTATGTGGGGGCCACTTTTATTTATAAATTATTCTTCAGTATGATAACTTGAGAATGCCTCTCTCTGTAAAGGCTTGAAACTTTATTACCAGTTAATTTAACTCAAAAGAAATTTCAGATTGATTTTGGAGTGCATAGCTCTGTTCAGTTGAAAATGCCTCTTCTGACTGGCTTGAGACTTTCCAAGCAATATGGATTCTTCCTTGTACAGTAACTTGAGAATCATTTTTCTAAATTCAGATTGATAGTATTTTGAAAACGTTATACGTATATAATGTAGTGAGGGGCTCTTAAACAAGGGACCCACGAATATCATAATGATAATACAGACTTTGGCTAAGACTAATACTGTAATGATTGTATAGATGTAGGTCTATTAAAGCTTATGGGTAAGTATTGTCGAGAAGATAAAAATAGATAATAAAAATAAAATTTCTAGGTTATACATTTTATTTCAAGGTGAATTCAATAATTGGATGGAGAAGAATCAGTGTCAGACTTTTATTACTGGTGTATCTTACTTAGAGCAGTGATCAGATAGTTATTAGACTGTTCAGTTGATAATCTGCTATTTTAACGTTTTCACTGTCCAGATCCCAAAAATTAATATTGCTCCCAGTGTCCATTTAAAAAAAAAAACTTTTTTTGTCTGAAATAGTAGTCTTTTTCTGAAGGTAATGACACCAAAAATATGAAATTTGATGGAAAACTTAAGGGATTACACATGCAAAGTTAGCAGTCCAAGCACAATTTACTCATCAGCAATTTCAATTTCATTGAACCATTCAACCAAATTCTTAGTTATTTTGCTAATATGCCTTATGTTCTATCAACTGAGCACAAGAAACTATCTATTCATGTATTACAACTAACCGATAAAGTGCACAGACTTCAGTCATTTGGCCAATTTTACACAAATTTAAAAAATGCCAGTTTAAAAATAAAACAACAAAATAAATAATGTAGACATTCCTGGCACTAAAACAACATTTCCTCTGCTCATTAATTGCATCCTCAGGCCTCTCCTATATTACATTTGCCTCCCATTTTGAACTCATGATCACATAAAAATGGAAAAGTTACTAGATTTTCCAGATAATAAATATAACCAGGAATGATTGGTCATGGCATCTCAGTAATTGAGTCAGACCTATTTAAATCCATTTGCTTTCCAGGCTATTTCATTTTATTGATCCTGTCTTCAAAGCAGCATCTTATTCTCAGCAAAATTTGCTGTAAAGGCTTGCGCATTCTCTCATTGCTCTCCTTTTGCAATCTTGCCACTTTTTTAACCTACCTCTTCCTCTCCATATTCTCTCCCTTCAGTCTATCATTTTTACATTGTAGAAATGTCTTGCATGCTAATTTTTCTCCCTTTCCATCCTCTTTACCTCATCATTTCACCAGTTGCTCCTCTTCCCATGTGCATGCTCCTTCCTATACCCATAAACCTCTGCTCTATACACTAAGAATGCATTCTTATATTTACTCGAGTCTTCCTCAACCTCCTCATTTCCTGCCCTTTGTCTGACTTGCCTTTTCCCCAATAGTTTCTTTTATTTTTGAAACTGTCTCCTTCCTCAATTTGTTTATTTTCATTTCTGTCTTACCCAGTGTTACCAGTCTCCTTGTACACCATCTACCTCCTATCTTACTCTTACTATATCTACTACTAAATAATAATCAGACACATGTTGCTCCTCTTGACCATAAGTTGAATATGTACATCTTTTGCCACAGTTTTGGAGTAAAATATGAACTGTCAGTTTATGGCCAACAATATACATTAATAAAGATAAATGTCTATATTAAATGAATGACAGGTTTTTTGTTAATTTGAGACACTGGCTTGTTACATTAATTTTTATATTTGAATGTCTTTATAGTGTAAGCTTAATGTTAAGTTAGTTTTATACTGTTTTTACCCTTGCTACAATTTTGCTCTGTTATATATAGGGAAAGTTCTTGAGAAGTCATTTGTATTTTGTTGCCTCACTGAGAGATAAGTTGTTATTGATTTCTTATTAGGGCCGTTGAACGAACATCTAGATTTGAGCCATCAGAAACTTGTTTGGATGACGAAGATACAAAAGGATTTGAAGTGGATGAGACTGACTCTGTTCCTCATTACCAGCGGGTCTTCATCAGTGGTGAGGAATCGACTAGAGTAAGTCACTGATTACACTTGATCCATAGTCATAGTTCAACCCTCCATCCTAGTAAATATTGGATTTTTAGTATAACTCAAGACTGCCAGTAAAATGACTGTCAAGTTAACATGTGAACATTAGGTTTTTATTAATGCTTCCTCAGTTTTCTTGGGTGTCAACCATTTTATTTTTATACAAATAACCCACACATAAAAGAGAGAAGCTTACGACGATGTTTCGGTCCGACTTGGACCATTTACAAAGTCGAACATTAAAATGGTATAAAATACCGACAGGTTGTTAGGTAAGACACATATGCAACAGTTAGGTATTTTTATTTCGAAACGTTTCGCCTACACAGTAGGCTTCTTCAGTCGAGTACAGAAAAGTTGATAGAAGCAGAAGAGACTTGAAGACGATGTAATCAGTCCATCACCCTTAAAGTTGTGAGGTGGTCAGTCCCTCAGTCTGGAGAAGAGCATTGTTCCGTAGTCTGAAACAAAGTCACAAGTCGGGCCGAAACGTCGTCGTAAGCTTCTCTCTTTTATGTGTGGGTTATTTGTGTATCGTTCCAGTCATGGTATTGTGCCTTTTTTTGTTATTTTATTTTTATGTATTAATCCTTAAACTGCTGGATGGTCTAAAATAAATGTGCACCCCAATGCTGATGATTCTGAAAAAAAAAACGTTATTTACTTGCCAAATTATTTTTCCTGATTTAGAAGCGTAATAAGATATGACGAGTGAAATCTGGTTATTAATTGCGGAGATATGAAGTTTTGATAGTGATATATGTGACAGCTATATAGCTGTCACATATGTGGAGGAAGTTGCCATGTGGAGGAAGTTCCTGTGTTTTTTAAAAAAAAAAAACATGATTTTTTCCAGTTTTTCTAATTATTTTTATGCATCATATGTTTTAGATCTATATGTTTTCATGTCAGTTTTTACTTATATTTATTGGATATGGGGCATTGTGGCAGTTGTTTCAGATGTATGGAATAGGTGGTAGGTTACTGAAAGCAGTTAAGAGTTTTTACGAGGATAATGAGGCTCAGGTTAGAGTACAGGTACCATCCGACTTACGACCGAGCTTGATTCCGACCAACCGGTTGTAAATCGAAATGGACATAAGTCAAACCTTACTACTGAATGTCAACATCACATTTTTGTAATTACTTTATTTTATTGTTTTATTTTGGTATTTCATTTTTTGCTTTACTTTTATGCTGTTAGTTCTGTATTTTATACTGTAAGGTTTAGGATGAACACTGTGTACAACACAAACACTTGTTTATTTCCCAGAAATTTGGCATAAAAAACATGGTCATAAGTCGAGTGGTTGTATGTCGAGCAGGTCGTAAGTCAGATGGTAGGTGTATGTAGGAGAGAGGGAGATTACTTTCCAGTAAAAGTAGGCCTTAGACACGGATGTATGATGTAACTATGATTGTTCATTATATTTATAGATGGGGTTGTAAGTGAAGTGAATGCTTGGATATTGGCAAGAGGGGTGGGACTAACCCCTTTGAGGGTCCAAACCCCTGGATCTACAGGATCTAAGAATTTTCCAAAAAAATAATAATATTTTTTCTTATGAAATTGAATAGAATTTTTTTCTGAAGGTAATAAAATGAAAAGTACGAAATTTTATAGAAAATTAACAAAATTACGCAATAGCGTAATTTCGTCAATTTTCGCCATATTTACACACTGGCAATTTTGCCCAATTTGAGTCCTATTTTAGACCAGTTGCATTGTTCCAGTTGACCAAATCCTTAGCTATTTTGCTAGTATGCCTTCTATTTTAGCACAAGAAACCACCCAATCACTATTTTAACTATCCAATAAAGTGATCAGAAATTGGTAATTTGTCCAGTTTCACATAAATTTCAAAATAGGGTCTACAATAAACAATGCAGGCATTCCTGGCACTAAAATAACATTTCCTCTGTTCATTATTTATGTTTCCAGGCTTTACACATGAATTCCATTTTGATTTTTTATTCACACACAAAAAAATAGAAGATTTATGCAATATTGTAATAATTGAATAAATAATATCACTGCCTTCATGAATGCATATTCGACCCACCAGTTGACCTGTATTGGACATGTGATTTCTTTACTCTTGAACATCGGCAAAAATCGAACATTTCCCCTACTTTTAGCTCAATTTCAAGCCATTTTCAGTCCTAAAACCAATCAAAATTATCTCTGTTTCTTTAATATATCTTCCATTCTATCAAATGAAACCAAGACACTGTGAATACAACCATAAAAACAATACAAAAATACACCGCAAAGTCGCTTTTTTAAATAAAAAACATGGTTGCAGTTTTTCTCATTATTTACTGTGTGCTGCAAGATTTTTTTACATGGTGCACACTTTTTTTTTTTTTTTTTTTTCAACAAGTCGGTCGTCTCCCACCGAGGCAGGGTGACCCAAAAAAAAAGAAAGAAAATCCCCAAAAAGAAAATACTTTCATCATCATTCAACACTTTCACCACACTCACACATTATCACTGCTTTTGCAGAGGTGCTCAGAATACAACAGTTTAGAAGCATATACGTATAGAGATACACAACATATCCCTCCAAAACTGCCAATATCCCAAACCCCTCCTTTAAAGTGCAGGCATTGTACTTCCCATTTCCAGGACTCAAGTCCGACTATATGAAAATAACCGGTTTCCCTGAATCCCTTCACTAAATATTACCCTGCTCACACTCCAACAGATCGTCAGGTCCCAAGTATCATTCGTCTCCATTCACTCCTATCTAACACGCTCACGCACGCTTGCTGGAAGTCCAAACCCCTCACCCACAAAACCTCCTTTACCCCCTCTTTCCAACCCTTTCGAGGACGACCCCTACCCCTCTTTCCTTCCCCTGTAGATTTATATGCTTTCCATGTCATTCTACTTTGATCCATTCTCTCTAAATGACCAAACCACCTCAACAACCCCTCTTCTGCCCTCTGACTAATGCTTTTATTAACTCCACACCTTCTCCTAATTTCCACACTCCGAATTTTCTGCATAATATTTACACCACACATTGCCCTTAGACAGGACATCTCCACTGCCTCCAACCGTCTCCTCGCTGCTGCATTTACCACCCAAGCTTCACATCCATATAAGAGTGTTGGTACTACTATACTTTCATACATTCCCTTCTTTGCCTCCATAGATAACGTTTTTTTGACTCCACATATACCTCAACGCACCACTCACCTTTTTTCCCTCATCAATTCTATGATTAACCTCATCCTTCATAAATCCATCCGCCGACACGTCAACTCCCAAGTATCTGAAAACATTCACTTCTTCCATACTCCTCCTCCCCAATTTGATATCCAATTTTTCTTTATCTAAATCATTTGATACCCTCATCACCTTACTCTTTTCTATGTTCACTTTCAACTTTCTACCTTTACACACATTCTCAAACTCATCCACTAACCTTTGCAATTTTTCTTTAGAATCTCCCATAAGCACAGTATCATCAGCAAAAAGTAACTGTGTCAATTCCCATTTTGAATTTGATTCCCCATAATTTAATCCCACCCCTCTCCCAAACACCCTAGCATTTACTTCTTTTACAACATAGATATTCTCTCATATCTAGGCCCAAATTTACCACTCACAGCTTATGTGAGTGAGCTGAGTTCACGCTGTAGAACAATGGCACAGACCCAGGCTTCAGACACATAGAACAATGGTATGGACCCTCAAGTGGTTAAGAGATAAGGAATCTAACAAAGTGGGAGTTGTCACAGATGCTTTTTGCTGATGACACTGTGCTTTTGGGAGATTCTGAAGAGAAGTTACAGACATTGGTGAACGAGTTTGGAAGGGTATGTAAAAGAAGGAAATTAAAAGTGAACATAGGAAAGAGCAAGGGGATGAGGATAACAAAAAATTTAGGTAATGAAAGACTAGGTATCAGATTGGAAGGAGGGAGTACAGAGGAAGTGAATGTATTCATATATTTTGGAGTAGACGGGTCAGCAGATGGGTCTATGAAAGGTGTGGTGAGTCATAGAATTGATTAGGGTAAAAAGGTGAATGGATAACTGAGAAGTCTGTGGAGACAAAAAACGTTATCCAAGGAAGTAAAGTGGGGAATGTATGAGAGTATAGTGGTACCAACACTCTTATATGGGTGTGAAGCATGGATTCTGAATGTTGCAACAAGGAGAATGCTGGAGGCAACGTGCAGTGTGAATATACTGCAGAGAATCTGTAGCTTGGAGATTACAAGGAGGTGTGGAGATTCTAAAAGTATTATCCAGAAGGCAGAGGAAGGGTTGTTGAGGTGGTTCAGACATTTAAAGAGGATGGAACGAAATAGAATAACTTGGAGGGCATGTAAATCTGCAGTGGAAGGAAGGTGGGGTATGGGTCATCTTAGGGAAGGTTGGAGGGAGGGGGTAAATGAGGTTTTCTGTGTGAGGGGTTTGGACTTTCAGTAAGCCTACATGAGCTTGTTAGATAGGAGTGAGTGGAGATGAATGGTTTTTATGACTTGATGTGTTGTTGGAGTGTGAGCAAAGTAACATTTATGAATTCAAGAAACCGGTTAACTGGACTTGGGGTCCTGGAGGTAGGAAGTGCAGTGCCTGTGCTCTGAAGTAGGGGTGTTGATATGTTGCAGTTTATTTAACTGTAATGTAAGTATGCCTCTGGCAAGACAGTGATAAAATGAATGAATGATGAAAGTGTTTCTTGTTTTTCGGGTTACTCTACACCATGATGGGAAACAGCCGATGTGTTAGTAAAAAAAAAAAATGATTGCTCATACCAGATCAAGTGTATGGTAGTTATTATTGAGAAAATTGAAGGCAAGATGGAGAGCAGGATTGCTGATGAACAAGGAGGTTTTTAGGAAGGGTAGGGGATGTATATATTAAGTATTTACATTGAAGCATATAAATAAGCAATTATGTATTTATAAAAGGCATATTACAGGGTGGAAAGGATAGTAAAGTTCAGGTTAAGGTATGCAGGAGAGAGAGAGATTATTTTCCAGTAAAAGTAGGCCTTGGACAGGGATGCATGATATCACCATGGTGGTTTAACGTATTTATAAATGTGGTTGTAAAAGAAGTGAATGCTAGGGTATTGGGGAGAGAGTGTGGGATTAAAATATGAAATATATAATCAAAATGGGAATGGTCACAGTTGCTTTTTGCTGATGACACAGTGCTTTTAAAGAGAAGTTGCAAATGTTGGTGAATGAATTTGGGAGGGTATGACGATCTGTTGGAGTGTGAGCAGGGTAATATTTAGTGAAGGGATTCAGGGAAACCGGTTATTTTCATATAGTCGGACTTGAGTCCTGGAAATGGGAAGTACAGTGCCTGCACTTTAAAGGAGGGGTTTGGGATATTGGCAGTTTGGAGGGATATGTTGTGTATCTTTATACGTATATGCTTCTAAACTGTTGTATTCTGAGCACCTCTGCAAAAGCAGTGATAATGTGTGAGTGTGGTGAAAGTGTTGAATGATGATGAAAGTATTTTCTTTTTTGGGATTTTCTTTCTTTTTTGGGTCACCCTGCCTCGGTGGGAGACGGCCGACTTGTTGAGAGAGAGAGATGTAAAGAAGAAGATTAACCCTTTGACTGTCGCAACCCCCAATCCTGAGGTGTCTCCTGGTGTCGCAAAATTTCAAAAAAAAAAATTATTTTTTCTTATGAAATGATAGAGAATCTTTTCCCGATTGTAATGACACCAAAAACACAAAATTTGATGGAAAACTGATGGAATTATGCTCTCGCGAAGTTAGCAACCTTGGCGATATTTACAAATCGGCAATTTTGCCCTATTTTCGGCTAATTCCATTGTTCCAGTCAACCAAACTCATAGCTATTTCTTTAGAACTCCATTTTTTCTATCGATTGAGTACAAGAAACTGTTCATTTACCAATTGCAACTACCCAATAATGTGGTCAGAAATTTGCAATATGGCCAATTTCACGAAAATTAAAAAATATGACAATTTCAAAATAAGGTCCAGAATGAACAATGCAGACAATCCTGGCTCTAAAATAACATTTTCTCTGTTCATCAGTCATGTTTCCAGGCTCCTCTGATATTACTCTTGCTTTCTATTTTGAATTTTTATTCAAACAAAAAATAGAAGATTTACTGTTATGCAGACTACTGCAATACTGTAATAATTGTATAAATAACATCAACCCATTCATGACTGCATATTAGAATGGCTAGTTGGACATTTATTGGACAATGACATCATTTGTTTACTTATGAACATCTGCAAAAATCAAACATTTCCCCTATTTTGAGCTCCATTTCCAGGTTCTATTTATAGTAAAATCAATCAAAATCACCTCTATTTCTATAATATGTTTTCCTTTCTATCAAATGAGACCAAGAAAATGAGAATACAACCATAAATACTATACGAAAATAGACCACAAAGTCGGCATTTTAATTAAAAAAAATGGAGTTTTTTTTTTCTCATTATGCACTGCATCCTCCAGGATTTTTTTATATGGTACACACTGACCACACAGACCCATTCTCTCACATGTGGGCCTACCAGCTTTCTCCTGCTTGATTTGAAGCCGCTAGAATTTATGAGTATATATACGTCAAACGCGGTACCTCGTAAGACATATATATATACGACCTCGACAGTCAAAAGGTTAAAAATGAAGATAGGAAAGAGCAAGGTAATGAGGGTAATTAAAAATTTAGGTAATGGAAGATTGGATATCAGGTTGGAAGGGGGGGGAGTATGGAAGAAGTGAATGTGTTCAGATATTTGCGAGTGGACAGGTCTATGAAATATGAGGTGAACCAGAGAATTGACGAGCTGAAAAAAGTGGGCAGTGCATTGAGGCATCTGTGAAGACAAAGAACAATTCATGTTATAATTAGATAAATTTTACTAATTAACATAAACCTAAATAATGTACATCATAAATATTAAAGCTCAGATAATTAGTTTGCATGCAGAAACTAGAGAATACCTCTTGGCTTCAAACTTTAAAAGCTGCTTTATTTTGTGCTAAGAAGTTTTTCATTGTTATTTAGCTTTGCTAATACCTAATTTTAACCCATTTACTGTTTTAACCTCTGGAAGTAAAAGTTCCTCAGTAATGCAGTTTTTGAATTAAAAGTTTCTGAAATAGTAGTGAATCTTTTGTGAAGATAATGAACTCAGAAAAGCAAAATTTTATGATGAAAAATTAGACACATGTGCAACATCTGGGTATCTTTGTAGACATTTTGCCAAGCAGTGGCTTTATCAATATAATACAAGAATATAATGTGAACAATTATATACAAAAGATGAGGTAATCAGTCCCTCAGCCTTGGAGTTGATGAAGAGCACCATAGTCCTGAAAGAACTGAAAGCACAGTCATGGAGCTTGGTACTTGTATACCAGCATCAGGTGAAGGACGTGCAGCAGACGAAGGCATTGTCACTGGTGGGTTTGATTTCCCAGTGGAAGTAGATTATACCCAAATAAAGATACCCACATGTTGCACGTGTGTCTAATTGTTAATCTTGTTGGTGTTGTACACCATTTCTGTACAACTTGTCAGACACTTCAACATCATAGAATCTTGGCACAGAGGACATCTCCACAACCTTCTTTGTGACTGCTGGCCCATTCCTTGGGTATAACCTATTTCCACTGGTGAATCCCACCTACCAGTGACAATGCCTTCATCTGCTGCACGTCCTTCACCTGACGTTGGTATATAAGCACTAAGTTCCATAACTGTGCTTCACTTCCTTCAAGACTACAGTGCTCTTCACCAACTCCAAGGCTGTATAAAACATCATGTCCTTGTATTGATAAAGCCACTGGTTGGCGAAACGTCCTCAAATAAAGATACCCAGAGGTTGAACATGTGTCTAATTCTTCATCTTGTCAGTATTGTATACCATTTATGTGCAAAGTTTTATATAAAACTTACAGAACTACACAAGTGCGAAGTTGGAGGTTGGGTAGCATTTTATGTGACTGAAATTTATCCCAACTTGAGGCCTGTTTTTAGACCAGTTCAAGTTCTCAAACCAACCTAATTCCTGTCTTCACTATTTTGCCTTCCATTCTATTGTTTAAGCTCAAGAAAATGCCCATTTAACTATCAGGACTACTCCGTAAAGTCCCCAGAAGTCTGTAATTGGGACATTTTATGCAAAATTCAACAAATTCCACATTAAAACAGCCCAAAATAAACACTGTAGGCATTCCATCCACTAAAGTAACCTTTTCTTTGTTCATTAACATTGTCTCTAGGCCTCTCCTGTATAACACTCATACTCCTGTTTTTAATCCATCATCACCAAAAAATAAAAATTTTGCCCTGTTTACCAGCAAATAAAATATAACCAAGAATAATTTGTCATGGTTTATTTGGACTGTCCATGTAATTGAAATTGACTTAGTAAAAATCCATTAACCAGACTAGGGGGGGGGGGGGAAGGGGATGAGCCCATCCTCAAGAAAATTGTCAAAAATCAAATATTTTCAGGCCAATTCTGGTCTGTAACTCACTAAAATCAACTCTTTAACTAGCAAGTCTTCTAATCTATCAAATGATACAAAGAAATTAATAAAACCATGACAACCACCCTACAAAATGCTTCAGATTTGCTATTTTTTCTCAAGCACAAAGTTAAAAGTTTAGCTGTTCCCCTCATGCACTACTTGGTGCTGGATTTTTTTTTTTCAACTGTGAATGCCCATTGCACATCCATTTTCTCATGTCTACATTAAAATTTACTGCTCACAGCATTATATTCCTCTTACAACCATGTATCGTGTCAAAATAAACTTCTTATTCTTATCCTAGACTTCATCTTATGAAAGCTGACAAAGCAAATGTGATGGTTATTATGGACAAGGTAGATTATAGCGGAAAAATGAACACATTATTAGAAGACGGGGATACTTATGTACCCCATAATAAGAACCCTTTGGACCAGGTTAATAGTAAGTTTAATAAAATACTTAGAACCTTACTGAGAGGTAATGAGGAATTAACTAAACAGTTATCGGCGAGATCTGCGACACTCCCTTACATGTACAGTTTGATTAAAACCCACAGGCCTGGTCTTCCAGCCAGACCTATAATTAATTCTGTAGGATTGGCATCATATGCCTTGTTAAAATGGTTGGTAAAATTATAGTAACTCCTTTGCTTGGCAACATTTCTGAAACCCACTTAAAAGACAATGTTGATCTCATCGACAAATTGCAAAATATGAACATGTCTAATGATTTTACACTTGTTAGTTTTGATGTCACTGCGTTGTTCACGAGAGTCCCTGTTCCCGACTTGCTATCTTATTTGGAAGAAAAATTAGATGAGTTCTCTTTTCCGTTTGATAAAAATACAACGAACCCTTGGTTATCGGCCATAATCCATTCCAGAACGTTGGCCTAAATCTGAAAAGGTCGAAAACTGAAATAATATTTCCCATAAGAATTAATGTAAATGCAATTAATCCATTCCAGACACCCAAAAATATTAAAAAAAAAAATACATTTTTTAAAGATTAACTATAGTTTTACATACACAAAACAATGAGAACTAAATGAAATAAATAAATGAACATTTAAATCACTTTAAATACCTTTATTGAAGACTCTTGTTGGCTTATGGAAGACAGGGAGGAGGAGAGAGGGAGGACTGATTATTGTTTGGAAGGGGAATCCCCCTCCATAAGGACTTCAGGTATCAAAGCCCTCTCTGGGGTTACTTCCCTTCTTTTTCTTTTACTGCCACTAGGTCCAGCTTGAGAGTCAGTGCACCCCTGTCACACCAAAAAACTGTCCAGAGAGGTCTGTTTCTGGCATCTCTCTAAGATTTGCCTGAAGTGGGTCAAGGCATTGTCACTGAACATGTTGCAGATATGGCTTGTTTCAGCTTGGCCAGGGTGATATTTCTCTACAAAACTTTGCAACTCACTCCACTTTGCACACATGTCCTTAATCACTGAAGAAGGCACATTCTTCCCTCTCTCTTCCTTCTCCTCTACAGCAATTTCCTCAGCTGTGGTCTGTTGCTGTTGCAGATGAAGGTCTTGCAGCACTTCAGTGGTTAGCTATTCCCTGTGGTCCTCCACCAACTTTTCCACATCCTGGCCACTCACATCCAACCCCATGGACTTCCCCAAAGAGACAATAGATTCCACAACAGGCGTAGGGTCGTCAGGGTCAGCCTCCTTATCGAGGACACATTCTGGCTACAATTTTCTCCAAGCAGAGTTGAAAGTTCTGGAAGTCACTCCCTGCCAAGCCTTACTTATAAGGCTTATGCAGTGGAGGATAGTGAAATGATTCCTCCAGAACTGTCTTAGGGTCAAGCCAGTGTCCGAGATAACTTCAAAGCACTTTGAAACATTGCTTTCGTGTAGAGTTTTTTGAAGTTAGAAGTGACCTGCTGGTCCATGGGCTGGATGAGAGGAGTGATGTTAGGAGGCAAGAACTTCACTGTTATAAAATTGAAGTCCCTAAACAAATGGTCTTCCATGTCTGGAAGGTAAGCAGGAGCATTGTCCAGTACCAGGAGGCACTTGAGTGGCAATTTATTTTCCTGGAGGTATTTTTTCACACTGAGGCCAAACACTACTAGCTTTCCACAACACGCACAATTTACTTTTGACGACATTGTTTTTCTTGAACACTCTGGGATTTTGATAGTGATACACCAGTAAAGACTTCACTTAGAAATCCCCACTAGCATTACCACAGAACAAAAGAGTTATCCTATCCTTCATAGGCTTGTGTCCTGGCAATACCTTTTCCTCCTGCGTGATGTAGGTCCTCTTTGGCATTTTCTTCCAAAAGAGGCCTGTTTTGTTGCAATTGAACACTTGTTGGGGGAGGAATCCTTCAGCCTCTACGTACTCCTTGAATTCATGCACAAATTCTTCAGCTGCACGTTTGTCTGAACTTGCAGCCTCGCCATGCCTTACAACACTTTATATGCCACTACACTTCTTAACCGTTAAACGGTCCAAATGTATATATACGTTTACTCGCGTAGCGCCCCAAATTTTTTGAGGAAAAAAAATCCTTTCTTTTAAAAGGAAAAAAAGAGCATATGGTACCCAGGCATCCCCAATTATTTTAATATAGCACACAGTGAGTGCGCACACCCATTCTCTCATGTCTAGGTGACTCAGGCTTATTGTGGCAATGTTGAATGAATGATTGACAAAGAAAATGTATATATACGTTTGGGGCACTACGCGCATGACCGTATATGTACGTTTGGACCGTTTAAGGGTTAAATCTCTCAAATCAGCCTTTGCTGGCCCTAAATTCACTAACAGCAGCACTCGTTCCAGGCATTTTATTCACAAGATCCGCATGTAACTGCCTTGTCTTTTCACAAATGATCGACTCCACAACACTATCTCCCGCCAATTGTTTATCGTTGATCCACATCAACAATAACCTCTCCACATCTTCAGTTATTGGTGACCTTTATTTCGTTAGCATATTTACCCCTTTCACAACATTAGCTTCCTTGATTTCTACTTTCTTTGCCAGAATGGAAGTGATTGTTGATTTGGATTTCCCACACATCCTGGCAAGCTGGAGCACACGTACACCACTCTCATACTTTGCTTCAATTTCTTTTTTTAATTCCATCGTGTTTCTCACTTTCTTTACCACAGGAACTTTACGAAGGAACTTTCTTTGGGCCCATGGTGGCTTATTTCGCAGTTGCAGTCAGTAAGCACCCAGAAAAACAATGGATTAATGTATAATGAAGTGTTTGGATGAATGCGCAGAGTCTTCCTCGCTCTCCGAGAGAGACAGCCAAACTGACTCACGAACCCGGTAGGGTGGCAGGATGGACACATCCGATACAGCCAATTTCCGAGTTGACAGCCGAAATCCGGGATAGAATATCGGCCAAAAAAGTGGCCGAAATTCTTCTCTGTATGTTCTCCGAGTCCATATCCATCCTGTAGTAAGGGGACCAAAACTGAGTGGCATAATCCAAATGAGACCTCACTAGTGAGATATAGAGCTGTAAAATAACTTTTGGACTAATGTTACTTATACTTCTAGAGATAAATCCTAGTACAGTGGACCCCCGGTTAACGATTTTAATCCGTGCAAGAGGGCTCATCGTTATGCGAAATAATCGTTATGCGAATTAATTTTCCCCATAAGAAATAATGGAAATAAAATTAATCCGTGCAAGACGCCCAAAAGTATGAAAAAAAAATTTTTTTACCACATGAAATGTTAATTTTAATACACACAAACTGAAAAAGGCATGCACAATTACATGACACTTACTTTTATTGAAGATCTGGTGATGATTGATGGGATGGGAGGAGGGGAGAGCATTATCTTCTTACTGTTTAGAAGGGGAATCCCCTTCCATTAGGACTTGAGGTAGCAAGTCCTTTTCTGGGGTTACTTCCCTTCTTCTTTTAATGCCACTAGGACCAGCTTCAGAGTCACTGGACCTCTGTCGCACAACAAATCTGTCCATAGAGCTCTGTACCTCCCGTTTCTTCAAGACTTTCCTAAAATGGGCCATAACATTGTCATTGAAATAGTCACAAGCACGGCTTGCAACAGCTGTGTCAGGGTGATTTTCATCTATAAAGGTTTGCAGTTCAAACCACTCTGCACACATTTCCTTAATCTTTGAAGTAGGCACAATGGATTCCACAACTGGCATAGGCTTCTCAGGGTTAGCCCCAAACCCTTCAAAATCTTTCTTAATTTCCATACTAATTCTCACCCTTTTTACCACAGGGTTGGCACTAGAAGCTTTCTTGGGGCCCATGGTCACTTATTTTCCAGAAACACCACCGAAAACACTGTAATAATACGAAATATTCCGAGTGTATGCTTGGATGTTACCGCGGAGGCTGGCTGGTAAACAATGGGACGGCCGGCACATGTGAGGGCACATTGGACGCGTCTCGGACGAAAATCGGTATGCGGGTTTTTAATCGGTATGCGGGGCAAAAATTTTGCGATAAAAGTAATCGTTATGCGGAAAAATCGCTATGCGATGCCATCGTTATGCGGGGGTCCACTGTATAATCTGTTAGCCTTGTTGCGCACACTAAGGCACTGCTGTCTTGGCTTTAGATTTCTGCTTACCATGACTCCCAAGTCTTTTTCATATTCTGTATGATCAAGCTCTACTTCACCTAGTTTATAGCTTCGAGGGTTATTTTCGTTACCAAGGACTAGTACCTTACACTTATCCACATTGAACTTCATCTGCTATTTTTCAGACCAAGACATTAATTTGTCCAAATCCTCCTGGAGTTCATTGTTATCCTCCTCAGAATGAATTATACGGCCTATCTTTGTATCATCAGCAAATTTACTCATGTCAATCGTAATCCCTTCATCAAGGTCATTAATGTAAATTATGAACAAGAGAGGTACTCTATTGAAGGCTTTACTAAAATCCAAATAAACAATATCATATTCTTTATCACTGTCCATTGCCTGAAATGTTCTATTGAAGAATGTCAGTAAATTTGTCAGGCAGGTACGACCTCTCGTGAACCCATACTGAGATTCATTAATCAAATTATGCTCTTCAAGGTGACTTCTAATAATGGCAGCTATAATTGATTCTAATAACTTGTCCACTATAGATGTCAGGCTAATTGGAGGGTAATTTGAAGGAGTGGACTTATCCCCTGATTTGAATATAGGAACCACATTAGCCATCTCTCACAACTCTGGAACAACACCGGTAAGGATGGATACATTAAAAACACTCATTAATGGCTGACTAAGCTCCATCTTGCATTCCTTAACCCTTTGAGGGTTTTTGACGTACTAGTACGCCTAAATTCTAGCGCCCTCAAATCTAGTGGGAGAAAGCTGGTAGGCCTTCATATGAAAGAATGGGTCTATGTGGTCAGTGTGCACAGTCTAAAAAAAATCCTGCAGCACACAGTGCATAGTGAGAAAAAAAAACTTTGACCGTTTTTTTGTATAAAACAGCGACTTTGCACTGTATTTTCGTATGGTATTTATTGTTGTATTCTAGTTTTCTTGGGGTCATTTTATAGAATGGAAGACATTACAGAAATTGAGATGATTTTGACTGGTTTTACAATGAAAGGTACCTTGAAATTGAGCTCAAAGTAGCAGAAATGTTCGATTTTTACCAAATTTCAAAAGTAAACAAATCGTGCCAAGCGTGCAATACACGTCAACTGGTGAGTTTAATATTCTTTCACAAGTGCGCCAATAATAATTATACCATTTTTTACACTAATGCAGTAGTCTGCATAACAGTAAATCTTATATTTTTTGTGAGAATAAAAATTCAAAGTGGAAAGCAAAAGAATATAAGAGGAAATGTCATTTTAGTGCCAGGAATGTCTTTCTTGTTTATTCTAGACCCTATTCGGAAATTGGCATCTTTTGAAATTTGTGTGAAATTGGCAAAATTGCTAAATTCTGACCACTGTACTGGATAGTTGAATTTCATAAATGGGTGGTTTCTTGCACCCATTCGATAGAAAAAATGGAGTTCTAGCGAAATATTCATGTTTTTTGTCGACTAGTACAGTGGAATTGGCCGAAAATGGGGCTCAAAGTGGGCAAAATCGCCGATGCGTGAACATCGCCGAGACCGCTAACTTCGTGAGAGCATAATTCCGTAAGTTTTCCATCAAATTTCAAACTTTTGGTGTCCTTATGATCGGGAAAAAATTCTCTATCTTTTCATAAGAGAATTTTTTTTTTTTTTTTTTAAATTTGGCCGACCCTGAGAACGAGTTTCGGAGAGGGCCTGTCGACCCTCAAAGGGTTAAGTACCCTTGAAAACAACTCATCGGGTCCCGGGGACTTATTTTGCTTCAGTTTGTCTATCTGTTTGATAACCATGTCCCTCGTGACAGTAATATTAAGTTAATTTGAATTCATCAGTAACTGAATAATTGTTAATTTCTGGAATCTCGTTTATGTCTTCCTGTGTAAAAACTGACAAAAAATAGTCATTAAATAAGGAACACATTTCCAGTTCCTTATCCATCAGCTGTCCATTCCCAATTTTCAGAGGTCCTACTTTTTCCTTCACTTTCGTCCTATACACTTGAAAGAAGCCCTTTGGATTGGTCTTTGATTCATTAGCAACTCTAATTTCATATTCATGTTTAGCCTTTCTAATCCCCTTTTTTACTTCTCTTTTAAGCTGAACATATTGGTCAGTAAGGTTAACCTCTCCTCTTCTGATGCGCCTATAAATTCCCCTTTTCTCCCCTAATAGATGCTTTAGCCTCCTGTTAACCCATTTGGGATCGTTATTATTAGACCTAATTTCTCTCTGGGGAATGTATATACTCTGAGCACGGTGTACATTATTAAGAAATAAATCATAATGCAGATCCCTTCGTAATCATAAGTATGATCGTCGAAGAAATGCTGAACACTGACAATGATGCACCTGTTGTGCATTCTTTGAGTGATGGTGAAATTAGATGAATTGTGATGTATAAATAAGCCGTAGAGTTGATATTAGCATCATATTGAAATATTTTGTCGTGCCTCCTAAGAGCAGGAATTCCGCTGGAACGGATTAATGCCATTTCATTTAATTTAAATGAGGAAAATTGACTCGGCATACTAACAAATCGGGATACAAACGAGGTCATGGAACAGATTAAATTCGTAAGCCAAGATTCCACTGTACGTATATTCTTATTCTCGTTACCTGTAATCATAACCCGGCCTTAAGTGAGAATTCATCACTTATTTATGAACCCTTGGAGACCATATATATATAAGCAATCAATTAGTTACTGCCATTTTAGTATTACGCTAGGTTTAAGTATGCTTGAAATGCTCTGCATAACCAGGGGCTTTCTGCATGCATGCCTAAATGTCACCTTTCTCTGTACAAACATTGTATCATGCTGAAATAAAAGTTAGTTTTATTTTTTTTTTCAACAAACCGGCCATATCCCACCAAGGCAGGGTGACTAAACAGAAAAATGAAAGTTTCTCTTTTTAAATTTAGTAATTTATACAGGAGAAGGGGTTACTAGCCACTTGCTCCCAGCATTTTAGTTGCCTCTTATGACACGCATGGTTTACGGAGGAAGAATTCTGTTTCACTTCCCCATGGAGATAAGAGGAAATAAACAAGAACAAGAACTGATAAGGAAATAGAAGAAAACCCAGAGGGGGGATGTGTATATATTTTTTGTACAGTGTGATCTAAGTGTAAAGATTAAAGATTTTTATTTCTTTGCAGTGTTTACAATGTGTGATTGCAATTTTGATTAGTTAAGTACGAAGAAAGCCACTATCATGCTGGAGCATTTTTGGCAGTAGCAAGACATACCTGAAGCCTTGCATGTTTATGAGAGAAAAAAAGACACCATCATGTAAAACAATTACAGGTTTCCATTTCACACTCACTTGGCAGGACAGTAGAGTGTCTTCCAGGGGAGTTGCTGTCTACCAACCTACTACCTAGGATTATTATTATTATTATTTCTTACTTTTATTAACATAGCAACTGTTTCCCACCAAGGCAGGGTGAACCAAAAGAGAAGAAACATTTTCATCATCACTGACTCCATCACTGCCTTGTCAGAGGTGTGCTGGCACAACAGTTAACAAAAACTGTATTTTGTGGACACAGTGGTGGCCCATGCTAACCTTCCTATGGTGTCTAGAAATATACCATGTTGGATGAATGTTGTTAGCCCAGCATGGTCCAGTGGATAGTGCACTAGCCTGGTAGTTTTATAACTAGAATGTAATAGGTTCTAGATCCACCTGTTCTGTAATTTAATCTGAAACATTTTCATTCTCAAAAGAAAACCACTTGATATAAAAAGCATTTTTGGAAAACAAATCTTAAAATATAAATACATACTACTGTACTTATACAATGTTTATTACTATTTGAAAGTAAAAAATAAAATAGTGCTAAATGTAAAATATTTGACAAATATTCTTAGAAAAATTAAGCAAGTAAATTAAATTAGAGAATATTTTGGGTCAGGAGCACATCTACAGTTATAACTTGGGTGTCTATGGAAAAATAGGTTCTGAGTCTTGAACAGTTTTCAGGAATACATTAATGTCGTAAGCGAGGGATCTACTATAATGTCTTTTTTTATGAAACTACAGTAATAAATTTAGCGGTCTTATTGTACAGGTATTTTTTTATTGCCTACTTTTGTGCAGAATACATTAATGCATAAAAGTTACCTAAATTGGAGTCTTATAAATATACTGATTTTAACAGGAACTGAAAAAATTGCAAGTTTCTATACTCATTCTCATTAAAAAATTTTTCATGCGAGCTTCTTCTAAGTGTGTAGCATTGAAAAAGGGCTTTCTAAGATAAGAGCATTTTTACCAATATAGATCTAATTTATGAATGGGTAAATGTTTTTCAACAAGATAATTCTGGCTTTCATCATCCTCTTCTATGCCACCTCAGGATAAACAAGAAGTTAAAGGAAAGGTAAGAGAAGCATTAACAGTAAATTGTGTACTAGAGTTCAGCTCCTTTACTATTCTTCATTTCCTTACTACTTTTTACTCCTTTATTTGTTAGCCTCATGGGTGTTGTATGTCATTTATAAGTAATAGGGTTGGTGGTTGTTTGCCCTTAGTCTTAGTGGATGTAATACAGTTTTGTATATTATAATTCATATCCTGTATATACATGAACTGTAAAGCATGTAAACTAAAGGTTAGCATGCACACAATAAACAAAATTCCTGGGGAGCAATCAGTCTAGGTGCTTGTTATTTCTGTCTCACTTTTTTTCTCTGGCCAATGGAACCTAGATCATCATCTCTCCAAACTTAGTCTGTTTAATTTGAAAATTGTCCCTTTATTGGTACATGGAATAAATATTCTCATACAGCAGAACCTCAGTTGTCGACTGCATTACTTGTCGAATAAATCAGTTTTTGAACAAGGAATTCAAGAAAAAATGTAATAGTAAACTCCAGGTAAACTCCAGGTGTTCATATGTTCTCTTGGTTGTTGACTGACAACACGAATGGCTCGGGTCACGTTCTTACTAACTCGCATGCTATAAACTCTCTTGAGCTTTTGTTGTGCATCTTGTGAACTTTTTTGTTATTTTGTGGTTTTGGTGCAGTTTTTTTAAGTGCAAGATCAGCCATCATGGGTCCAAAGAAGGATAAAGAGGTAAAAGCAAAAAGTTGTAAAAAGCACTGATGAGTTTAAAAAAGAAGTCATTAGAAAGTATGAAGAAGGTAGGCTCTGCGTGGTTGATATGGCAAAACTTTCTGATAAATCAGCATCTACCATTAGCATGATACTGGGCCAAGGGGAAAAAATTAAAGCAGCTGCCTTGCAAAAGGCTTGAAAGTGCTATCAAAGCAAAGGCAACAAATTATTGAGGAGGTTGAAAAACTTTGTTGATTTGGATAAACGAAAAACAGTTACACGATGATAATATTTCAGAAGTCATTATTTGTGAAAAAGCGAGGCAGTTGCATGATAACCTCCTGAAAAAAAAACCTGGAACAAGTGCTGAAACTCAATCCTTCAAGGCTAGTAGGGGTTGGTTTGATAATTTGGGGGAAAAGAAGTGGCATTCATAGTGTGACTAGGCATGGGGAGGCTGCCAGTGCTGACAAAGTGGCTGTTGAAAAGTATGTTACTGAATTCCAAGAGTATGTAGAGACTGAGGGGTTTGTCCCCAACAAGTGTTTGTGACAAGACAGGCCTCTTCTGGAAGAAAATGTCCAAGAGGACCTACATAACTGAAGAGGAAAAGTCAATGCCAGGACACAAGCCAATGAAAGACAGGCTCTCTCTCTTACTGTGTGGTAATGCAGGTGGGGACTTGAAATTGAAGCCCTTACTTGTTTACCATTCCAAAAATCTCCAAGTTTTTAAGAAGAACAATATTATGAAAAGCAAACTGGCTGTAATGTGGAGGGCCATCACAAAAGCTTGGGTAACAAGACAATTTTTTATTGAGTGGGTTCTTGAGATCTTTGCTCCCACTGTCAAAAAGTACAGTAGGGCCCCGCTTTATGGCATTTTGCCCTACTGCACTCCACTAATACGGCAATTTCAAATTATGAGCACATCTCTCTATTATGTCTGGAAACTTTCCAAAATTTCAAGTGTTTTAAAGTTATTGCATATTTTATAGGTGCTCTGATAATAATACTTGTGTACCTGTACCTGTACCTACATGCTGTGCTGGTGTGCAGGTACACATTAAGACTAGAGTGTCCCTCTAGTCTTAATGCCATAGTAATATAGTACATAATAATAACCACTCTTGGACACATTAAATGTCTTATTTTATGTTAATATAGACATTTTTATTAATTTATCTATGATATTTTCTTCAAAATTACATAAACACATTACATAGCATATAAACATGCTATGTTTATATGCTATGGAGGTGTGATAGCCAGACGGAGGGAAAACATTACGTTTTCTCTGGTCCAGCACAAGAGAAAACGTGTATGAATCTGCATTTGGCCTAGTCACTTCCCTTAACACTCCACTTTTGTTTACAATTCTCGGCATGAATTATTCATTGCTTCTCCCTTCATTTATGATGGCGTGTAAAGGTAATTGTTAGAAACGATTAAATTCAGTGAACAAGGTATGTCGATGGTAATAATATGGCTCTGGGCCGCAGTGTAGGTAGCCGGTAGGTATAGCCCAGGTGAGCTATACCTACCGGCTACCTACACCTGACTTCCTACAAATAAATACTACTCACCTCTCATCCAACATTAAGACTACACGTACAATATTTTAAGGTAAATAATGAGTGTACTGTATGTGTAATTTATCTCTCTGGGCTGCTTTAAATATCATATGTATTAGGTTTGGGATGGGGAGCCAGGGCTACCTACACCTGACTTCCTACAAATAAGTGCTACTCACCTCTTGCCCTACATTAATAAAACTACAAATATTTTAAGATAAGTAATGAATGTACTGTGTATGTACAGTGGAACCTCAAATATCGAACTTTCTTTGGTCCAGAAGGCTGTTCGAGTGTCTTTACCGAATGAATTTATTCCCATGAGGAATAATGTAAATTAGGTTAGTCCATTTCAGACCCTCAAAAATACACTTATAAAAGCACTTACAAAAATACACTTACATAATTGGTTGTGTTGGGAGCAGTTCGAGTTTTGAGGTTCCACTGTATTTTACTTTTTATTGTGTTTTTTAATGCCTATTCTGTTACTAACTTAATATAAGTTAGGGTAAACTTGTTGTCTGGCATTTATATGCATTTATAAGTGGGAAAAAATGGTTCTGCTTTCCGGCGATAGCCTGGAACCTAACTTGCCGTAAAAAACAATTGCCGCTCAGGCCTTTTTATGTTCTTATGGATAATGCTCCTACTCACCTTCCAAGCTTGGAAAATGAGTTGCTGGAGGAGTTCAGTTTTATAACTGTAAAGTTCTTGCTTCCTAACACTACTCCTGTAATCCAGCCCATGGACCAGCAGGTCATTTCTAACTTCAAGAAACTCTACACCAAAGCACATTTTGAAAGATGCTTTGAAATCACTTCAGAAACAAATTTAACCCTCAGGGAGTTCTGGAGGGACCGTTTCATTGTCTTCACCTGCTTTAGGCTTATAGACAAAGCCTGGGGGAATGTGTCTTCCAGGACCATGCAGTCAGCATGGAAGAAACCGTGGCCTGACTTTGTGGCAGCCAGGGATTTTGGAGATTTTGAAGATGAGTCTGAGCCAGTAGAAGATATTGTGTCACTGGGGAAGACCCTGAGCCTAGAGATGACTGAAGATGATGTGGAGGAGTTGGTGGAGGAGCATAGAACTGACTCACCACAAAAGAACTTACAAATTTTCAGGAGTAGCAACAGATTTCAGTGGAGGAGCTGTCATCGGGGGAAGAAGATGGAAGGGATGATGTGCCCACTGCACTTATCAAGGAAATGTGTGCTAAATGGCATAAAGTGCAGGAGTTTGTTGAAAAATACCATCCAGACAAAGTGGCCATCTGTCTCTCTAACATGTACAATGACAGTGTAATGTCTCAGTTTAGACAGATGTTAAAACAGAGTTAGAAACAAACCTCACTGGACAGGTTTTTTAGAACCAGTGAGCCAGAACAAAGTGTTAGTGGTGAAAAGAGACAAAGAAGAGAACACCAGAACAGCTCTTAGCTTGTCAATAAAGTTAGGAATCTTTAACCTGTATATGGCTTGTCAATAAAACTAGGGATCCTTGACCCAACCTTGTCAAACCCGGTGTAAGAAGAAAAAAAAAAAAAAGGACAATTGCCTGACATATCAATAGAAGGTAACTCCCCTTTCAAGCAGTAACATACCCCCTCCTCTACTTCACCTTCTGCTTCCAGTATGTCATGATGTCTCCTCTGACAGGTAAGAGGCAGTTAAATTTTCATTTACTGTACAGTATTTCAGTTAAAGTTTCTTTTAGTATTCATTTTTACAGTTTTACATAGTAGCACATTTTTAATAAATTATTGTTATTTGGGGTCTGGAACAGATTAATTCTATTTGCATTATTTTTTATGGGAAAAATTGTTTTGGTTGTCATTCGTTTTGGTTGTTGAATCAACATCTAGACAAATTAAATTCAACAACCAAGGTTCCACTGTACTTCTGATCTAATGAACAAATGGCTTTAGTCTGTTAAATTGAGGGTTTGCTCTTGATTTACATAGTAAACAGACACTTTACAAAAATTTGAACTTTGTCACCATCAAAACTATTCCATTTATACAGGTATTTTAACTAAAACATAATATTGGATTAACTACAGTTTGGTGAATAAAACAATAATGGATTAAGTTTTATTTTTTTTATTATTAACACACCAGCCATCTCTCATGGATGTAGGGTGACTCAAAAGAAACACAATTACAATCAGTCATTCAGTATTTGCCTTGCCATAAATGCAATTATCACAATTCAAATAACCTTTCAAACTGTAATGTCCCCACCCCTCCTTCAGAGTGTAGGTGGTGTACTTCCCACCTCCAGGATTCAAGTTCAGTTAACCAGTTTCCTGATTTCCTTCATATATGTTGCCTTGCTCTAACTCCAAAAGCACCTCAAGCCATAAAAACCATTTGTTTCCACTCTAATCTAACATGTTCAAACAAGCATGGGGATCCTCAAGCCTCTAGCACTTAAAACCTTTATCCCCTACCCCTCCTTCCTTCCACCCCAGCTTTGTAAACCCTCTTTGTCATCCAATTCATCTCCATCCTCTCTAAATTAAAAAAAACACTTCTAAAATACCTTGTCAGCACTCTTAGCCCTAAAGAGGTGTACTTCTAAAAATAGTATTCATCCTTTATACCCAGATATGCTGTATCCAGTTTGGATAGATAATAAAATGCAGACACTCCTCACGTAACGACGGAGTTCCATTCCTAAGACCACATGAGTAAACGAATTCATCACTAAGCGAGGAACTACCCCTTACTGATACTTGTAATTGTAATTACTCTACAGTATAAAAATGATGTACCAAAAAAATTCAAATTACAGTGTAAGAAAGAGACATTCACATTAACATTTTAGTCATCGAATCCTTCAGACTACTGGTTCAGGATCATCATTGTCATCATCAGAGTTATCAGCAGGGTTATCAGGAGCTGTAGTCAAGCTGAAGGCAAGATTTTCCTTTTCACTGACATCTTGTACTATGGGGTGCACAATAAAGTACAAATTTGTACAAATATAGTCTTGGAGACTGTAAAAGCCAGTGTACTGAGTGGCTGTGGGGACGAGACTGACATGCTTGACACTGAGACACCACGCTGCCCATTTCCACGACCCAAGTTCTCATATGGCATACAATACTGACTGGTCAGAGCCAGTCATAACTCAAACAGTCAGTAAATGAGTACATTGCTAAGTGAAGAGTGTCTGTACTGTATAATCACTCTCTGTAGGTAGTTTGGTAGACAGCAACCACCCAGGGAAGTACTGTCATCCTGTGGTAGTAAGTTGCTAGACAGCAACCACCCAGGGAGGTACTACTGTCCTGTGATAGTATGTTGGTAGACTGCAATCGCCCAGGGAGGTACTACCATCCTGTGGTGTAGTAGGTTGGTAGACAGCAGCCATCCAGGGAGGTACTACTGTTCTGTGGTAATAGGTTGGCAACCACCCAGGGAGGTACTACCGTCCTACCAGGTGAGTGTAAAACAGAAATCTGTAATTGTTTTGCATGATGGTAGGATTGCTGGTGTCTTGTTTGTCTGTCTCCTCAACACGCGGGATACCAAGTATATCTTGCTACTTCTACTTACACTTTTGTCACACTACACATGCATGTAATGCATGTATATAAATACCCATCTGGGTTTTCTTCTATTTTCTTAATACTTCTTGTTTTTGTTTATTTCCTCTTGTCTCCATGGGGCAGTGGAACAGAATTCTTCCTCCGTTAGCCATGAGTGTTGTAAGAGGCGACTGAAATGTTGGGAGCAAGTGGCTAGTAACCCCTTTTCCTGCATCAGTCACTAAATTTAAAAAGAAGAACTTTGTTTTTTCTTTTTAAATTTAAAAAGTTTGGTTTTTCTTTTTAGGTCACCCAACCTGATGGGATACGGCCGGTTCACTGAAAAAATAATCATTCTCATTACAATACTATATTACATTTTAAACTATGAGTTTGATCACCCATTATTGAAGTAAATGTGAGTCTTACCACAATTTTAATTCATGATCCTCACCCATATGTACCTCACTAGGATTAATTATACCTTTTGAAAACCCATACTGTTTTCTAATTTCTGCTCTCTGAATTTTTTGCATAAAGAAATGTATAAATTCATGGATTATGTGGATTAAAATAAGGGTCAGATGTGAAAAGTGAGGAGGGGGAGAGAGAGATTTTGGGAGATGTTAAGCAAGTGTTTAGGAACTTTTGAACTAAGTGTGAGAGTAATTGGGGTAGGGGACCTAAATGCTAAGGTAGGAGAAAAGATTAGAGAGGGTGTGGTAGGTAAGTTTGGGGTACCAGGTGTAAATGAAAACGGGAAGCCTTTGATTGAACTTTGTATAGAAAGGGGTTTGGTAATAGGTTATACATACGTTCTCTTTCTTTCAACACACCGGCCGTATCCCACCGAGGCGGGGTGGCCCAAAAGAAAAAACCAAAGTTTCTCCTTTCAAATTTAGTAATATATACAGGAGAAGGGGTTACTAGCCCCTTGCTCCCGGCATTTTAGTCGCCTCGTACAACACGCATGGCCTACGGAGGAAGAATTCTGTTCCACTTCCCCATGGAGATAAGAGGAAATAAACAAGAACAAGAACTAGAAAGAAAATAGAAGAAAACCCAGAGGGGTATGTATATATACGCTTGTACATGTATGTGTAGTGTGACCTGAGTGTAAGTAGAAGTAGCAAGACGTACTTGAAATTTTGCATGTTCATGAGACAGAAAAAAGGACACCAGCAATCCTACCATCATGTAAAACAATTACAGGCTTTCGTTTTACACTCACTTGACAGGACGGTAGTACCTCCCTGGGCAGTTGCTGTCTACCAACCTACTACCTAGGATTATACATACGTATTTTAAGAAAAAAGGATAAGTGAGTAAACAAGATATGATACAGTAAAACCTCGGCTTATGAGTGCCCCACCATATGAGTTTTTCAGGATACAAGCAGTCACTTGGTTGATTTTTTGTTTCTGGATACAAGCAAAAATTCAGGATGCGAGGTTCCCCCTCAAACAACTTTTTTTTTAAACCTCCAGATCTTACAAAAATAAAGGTGAATATATAATTGTAGTTCATTGTCGTGATGTATTATGTTGTTTTTACTGCTTAAGACTATAACTGCAACAGAAATAATAGTATTTCTTACCTTAAATTGTGGGTGCTGGTGTTTGTCAACTGTGAAGAGAGAGGAGAATTATGCTGTGGCCCTACTGGGCTGAGGTGGACGGTAGAGGTTCTGGTACTGAAGTCGATGGTTGTACTGTAGTGTGCATAAATTCGGTAATTTATTTCTGTTCTATTTTACTCTGTAGTACATTATACAACTGATGGTAAGGCATCACCTGCTCTAGACACCATTTCAGGGTCCTCTTCAGTGAAAAAGTCTAACTTTAAGTCATTCAGTAAGCCAGTCAAGTCATTCAGTAAGCCAGTCAAGTCATTCAGTAAGCCAGTCAAGTCATTCAGTCAGTCAGTTAAGTCAAGTCAGTAAGTCAGATGCTGTGCCCAGCATCTCTTCTCCATCATGAACCTCCACCAGCATCTCTTCTCCACCATCAACTACCAACATTTCTTCTCCAAGGTAAATGCTTTAGTACGTACTACATAATTTCTTTACATTGTTTTCCTTATGAAACTATGAAGTGATCTAATGCAGTTTGCCTGACAAACACTCTGTTTTCTGTTGTAATAAGAGCATGGGAAGGTATGTAGCCAGAAGCAGGAATGACCACTGTAGTGGCACTATAGACCCCAACAACAGCAATGGCCATAGTATTTTATTCATTCTAGTGTATATATCATGTTTCTATGTTATTAACCCTTTGAGGGTCGACAGGCCCTCTCCGAAACTCGTTCTCAGGGTCGGCCAAATTAAAAAAAAAAAAAATTATTTTCTCTTATGAAAAGATAGAGAATCTTTTCCCGATCATAAGGACACCAAAAGTTTGAAATTTGATGGAAAACTTGCGGAATTATGCTCTCGCAAAGTTAGCGGTCTCGGTGATGTTTACGCATCGGCGATTTTGCCCACTTTGAGCCCCATTTTCGGCCAATTCCACTGCACTAGTCGACAAAAAACATGAATATTTCGCTAGAACTCCATTTTTTCTATCGAATGGGTGCAAGAAACCACCCATTTATGAAATTCAACTATCCAGTACAGTGGTCAGAATTTAGCAATTTTGCCAATTTCACACAAATTTCAAAAGATGCCAATTTCCGAATAGGGTCCAGAATAAACAAGAAAGACATTCCTGGCACCAAAATGACATTTCCTCTGGTCATTAGTCACGTCTCAAGGCCCCTCTTATATTCTTTTGCTTTCCACTTTGAATTTTTATTCTCACAAAAAATATAAGATTTACTGTTATGCAGACTGCTGTATTAGTGTAAAAAATGGTATAAATATTATTGGTGCACTTGTGAAAGAATATTAGACTCACCAGTTGACGTGTATTACACGCTTGGCACGATTTGTTCACTTTTGAAATTTGGTAAAAATCGAACATTTCTGCTACTTTGAGCTCAATTTCAAGGTACCTTTCATTGTAAAACCAGTCAAAATCATCTCAATTTCTGTAATATGTCTTCCATTCTATAAAATGA